CTCTGTCCCAGCTGAAGCAGCGCACGCTCGTCACCCAGCCCCGCCGACGCGCACCGGGACCCTCTTGAGCACAGCACGCAGAAGGAGCCTCGCGGTCCGCGGAACCCACGTCTAAGGGCTGCCGCTGTCCCACCGTGCCGGGCTGGAAAAGCGCGTTCAGCCGGAGCGCGTCCGGCAGCCCCGCTCGCAAACCCGGCCGGCCGTTGGGCTCATCTCGGCTCCGTACCTCGGCCGCGTTGCCGGTCATCAGATCCGCGCAGCCCACGGCGTGCGGGCCCTTCCCGGCGGGGATCCGATAGCCTTTCTCCGAGCCGCCGCCGCCCATCTCCGCCGCCGCTTTCGCCGATAAACCTGGGGACAAAACACGGCGCATCAGGAGAGCCCCGGAGCAGCAGGGACGCGAGCAGCGGAGCGAAGGAAGGGAGGGAGGGAGGCAGGACGGACGGGCCCCGGGCGAGCACCCGGCACGGCGCTCGGCCCACCGCGGGGCGGCACCTCGGTGCGGCGCTGCCCGGCTCCGCTCCGCCCGCACCCGCTGCCCGCCGAGCGCCACCGTCCCCGTTCCGGACCGGGGGAGGCGGGGCTGGCCGCGACCCCGACGCTCCTCCCCGGAAGGGCCCGGCGGCACGGGAGGCGGCAAGATGGTGCGCAAGCTGAAGTACCACGAGCAGAAGCTGCTGCGGCGGCTGGAGCTGGTGAGCTGGGAGGCGGCGCCCGGCAACCTGGCCGAGGTGCGGGCGCTGCGGCGGTACCGCGTGGGGCGGCGCGAGGACTACGCGCGGTACAAGGCGCTGGCCCGGGAGGTGCGCGCCTTGGCGCGGCGGCTGCGCGATCTGGGCCCGGCCAGCGCCGCCTTCCGCGCCCGCTGCGGCGCCGCGCTGCTGGAGAAGCTGTACGCGATGGGGCTGGTGGCCTCGCGGCGCTCCCTGGCCGTGTGCGAGCGCGTGTCCGCCGCCTCGTTCTGCCGCCGCCGCCTGCCCTGCCTGCTGCTGAAGCTGCGCATGGCGCAGAACCTGCGGCACGCCGTCACCTTCGTGGAGCAGGGCCACGTCCGCGTCGGGCCCGAGGTGATCACCGACCCCGCGCTGCTCGTGCCCCGCGCCGTGGAGGACTTCGTCACCTGGGCCGACGCCTCCCGCCTGCGCCTCAAGGTGCTCGACTACAACCAGGAGCGCGACGACTTCGACCTGGCGGCGTAGAGAAGCCGGAGCGGGGCTGAGACGCGCGGGGAGCCCTCCTGAGAGACCGCCGAGCCGTCCTGCGGCCCCCGGAGCCGCCCTGATCTGACCTGCTCCGCTCCACTCTGCTCTGCCCGGAACGCACACGCGCTGTCTGAGCCCTCGTGGTGAGGCTGCCGAGCTCATCCTCTGGTGCGGCTCCTCACTAAGAGCAGCACTGGAGGAGCTTTGCACGTGGCCAAGAAGCCGCTGTGCTGATGTGCCCGGCTCTGCTGCTGCGGGGCTGTGTGGGAGCACCCCAGTGCTGCTCCTCATCGCAGCGCCGGCCCAGGAAGGTCTGTTTTAACCTGGAGCAGCGAGTCAGCAGGGGAACGCTGTGTGATCAGCAATGGACCAAATGCTGGATTTCGGGAATTGTGAGAGTTTGGGCCTCAAATACAACAAACAAAAGTGAACTTGGTTTTCCTGTGAAGCCTTAGAGCTTAGGGCGGGCTGCAGATCAGTGCTGGGCGGCTCTGGGGCTGCTGGGGGTGTTACTCCTCATCCAAGAAAGGCAGAAATAAAAAGTCGTGTTTTGGAAGAGCTCTGTGTGGAGTCATATTGCCTTTCCTGTTGGCATAACCCAGTGAGCACCACTTCTCATCTCACAGAACTGCTTTTTGCCACAGCACCACAAGCAGTCTGCTAGGCTGCATTTGCTCATGGTTTTAGGCTTGGAGAAGAGAAGGCTGCAGGGAGACCTCATTGTGGCCTTCCAGAACTTGAAGGGAGTGAATAAACAGGAGGGGGAATGGCTGTTTGTGAGGGTGGATGGTGATGGGACAAGGGGAATGGTTTTAAAGTGAGACAGGGGAGGTTTGGGTTGGATCTGAGGAGGAAGTTTTCCCCCAGAGGGTGGTGAGGCACTGGCACAGGTTGCCCAAGGAGGCTGTGGATGCCTCATCCCTGCAGGCATTCAAGGCCAGGCTGGATGTGGCTCTGGGCAGCCTGGGCTGCTGGTTGGCGACCTGCACACAGCAGGGGGTTGGGACTGGATGGTCTTTCAGGTCAACCCAGGCCACTCTATGAACAGATGCAGAAAAGACGTTCCTTACCTGAAGCACGACTTTTCATGAACACCTTCCGAGCTCTCGCCCACAGCGATGCCATCACTTCTTAGGAAGAGCAGAGGGTCCCACAGCAGGGTGCAGGCAGGCAGCAGCCGGCTCACTGCTCTGCTCAGGGGGGTTGGGAATAGCACAGGGCTGCTCCCCAGGAGGTGGAGGCAGGATGGAAACCTGTGGCTCCACACCTCCAGATCCTTCCGCCCTGAAAGAAACCATTGCGTCCTTTACTTGTGCACCAGGGGTTACCACTGCCAGTGCATCTCTTTGTAAAGGTTTTTTTCCTCTGACTGTTCTGCACTCTGCTTGGAGGGGAGGAGCTGGCCTGGGGACAGAGGGGGGGATGGAAGGGGAGTCCTTCACACTGAGGTCTTTGTGTCGGGACAACAAGGCTGAGGCTGTCACTGGAATACAAATGTGCTGTGCTCAGCTGCTTTTCCAGTCAACAGAAGCTCTGCACGTGGAGGCAGCCTCCAAACCCCGGCATTTCAGTGAGGGTTGACAAGGAGATGTCCCCCTCACAGCCCTGTGAGCGCAGGGTGGATTCACACATCCACTGGGCGTGGGGAAAAGCAACCCACAGCTGCAGGGTAGCATTTACCTGGGAGCAAATGGGGCAGCCGACTGCCACTGACAGCTGGAGGCAGAGGGGTGAGCTCTGGTTACTCCTGGAGCTGCCCTGAGGGTACCTGTGTGACCCATGTGTGAGTCCCAGGGCTGTGTTATGGAGAGTGCTCTGTGCTGCATCTGCAACCTCTCTTGCCCAGAGAGGCTGTGATGCCCCGTCCATCCCTGGAGGTGTTCAAGGCCAGGTTGGATGGGGCCCTGGGCAGCCTGGGCTGCTGTGAAATGGGGAGGTTGGTGGCCCTGCATGGCACAGGGGGGTTGGAGCTTCGTGATCCTTGAGGTCCCTTCCAACCCTGGCCGTTCTGTGATTCTGTGATACTCTACCCCAGATTCTGCCCAGAAGAGCAAGAGGGGGTAAAGTCCAGCAGGCGCTGGTGGCAGATCCTTCTGCAGAGGGACAGTGCATAGCTCAGCACATGAACACGGATAGCTCACGGGGATCAGAACACTGAAGAGAAAACGTCCTGACAGGGCTGTGGCTGCCCGTCTGCTCTGAAGGAGTTGGGACAGGAGCTGGGATCTCCCAGGCTCCCAGAGCTCAGGTGAGACGGAGCCCCCAGGACGAGCAGCACCCCGTCCCACTCCGCCTCTCGCGGTGCCGGGCGCTCCCTGGACACCGAAGCCACACTCGATACCGCGCAGTTTCCTTTCCTCCCACCTAGCGGAGCCGCCCGGCACCGCCGCGTCCGTCCCCCTCCTCCCCCCCCGCTCAGCCGCACCCCCTCTTATCCTTCCATGGATTTGGGTGGGGTAAGAAGAAGGCTGCGAGCTCGGTACGAACAACGCTCCTCCCCGCCCCTCTCAGCACCGCCGTCCCCTCGCCCTCGTTGCCCACGGGCAGCGCTGCCCGTACCTGCTGCGGTGTCCCGGCCTTCTGCAGGGCGCCGTGCGCCGCACGGACGGACGGAGGACGGACGGATGAGTGCCCGGCGCTGCCGGAGGGGAGGGACCAAACTCCGCCTCACTTCCCAGCCGGGACGGTGTTTGTGGGAGAGGCTTTCCCCGAGCCTGGAAAGGAGGCGTGCCTCGTGGGAGCTGCGCCAGTACGGGCGGCTGGCCGCGTCCCGTGGCGATGGGAGCACCGCGCTGGGGCGGCTTGTCTCAGGGACGCTGCAAAATCCGGCTTTACAAACCGGGGCCAGAATCCCGTTAGAAGTGAGCCCCGCTTCTGAGTGCCGTTTGTGGGGTGGTTGGAGCAGCTCGGGGCCCCATGGGTATTGCAGATGTGCCCCGCGCGGTGAGTGCCCTGCACTGCGCTGACTCGCAATACGCTCAGTGGGGGCGGCACGGTGGGAAATAACCCCAAATCCCAAAATAATAACGAAAGAAAATTTTGAACGATGCCTGCGGTTCTCTGGAAAGGAACGGGAAAGCCGTGAAAGTGCCCAAGGCTTGCTTTTTTGTTTTTTTCCTGTCGTTTTGTTTCAGTGAAGGGCTGGAATTATTCAAGCATTTCGTTTATTGCCAAAGAGAGCCGTTGGAGGACTGCTCCCACAGCTCTGCTTCATTACAGAACAGGTTTTTCAGGGTCAGCAGGAGGCAGCCAGGAGGAGGTGTGTGACAGGGATCTTAAAGCCAATGGCACTGCTGCACCCAAGAGAGCAGCACCAACATCCATCATATCATAGAATCATAGAATCCCAGCATGGCCTGGATTGCAAAGGCCCACAGCGCTCCTCCAGCCCCAACCCCTGCTGTGTGCAGGTCGCCAACCAGCAGCCCAGGCTGCCCAGAGCCACATCCAGCCTGGCCTTGAATGCCTGCAGGGATGGGGCATCCACAGCCTCCTTGGGCAACCTGTGCCAGTGCCTCACCACCCTCTGGGTGACAGTGCTGTGGCTCTGAGGGACATTGCCGGCGGGTGCAGTGCAGGAAGGGACCCCGGAGGCCATCAGCGCAGGCCTGCAGCGCACAGCACACCGCAGCTCCTCAGTGCTCAGAGCCCCGTCCCCTGGCCTTGGCTGCGTGCAGGACGGGGCAGCAGCACCTCTGGGCACCCTGTGCAGCGCCTCACCGCCTCACCGCCAGCGGCTCCTTCCTCACATCCACCGAAATCTGCCCTCCCTGGCTCCCAACCCTTCGCCCTCGTCCCGGCACGCAGACCCCGATGAGAGTCTGCCCTTCTCTCATACAGCCCTGCAGGCACCGCAGGCCGCTCTCAGCTCTCCCCGCTCCTTCTCCTCTCCAGCAGCGCAGCCCAGCTCTCAGCCCAGCTCTCAGCCCGTCCTCGCAGGGAGCTGCTCCATCACGGATCACCCTCTGCTGGAGCTGGCGGCGTGCCGGGATCCTGCTGACGCCGTCGGCTGGGCCCGAGCCGCCACGGCAGCGAGGGCGGTGCCGCGGGGCAGACGGCGGACGGTTCCCATGGCGGCCGATCGACGCGCTGAGCCCCGCGCCGGCCGCTGCACGCAGCATGACGGAGCTGCACCAGGCCGTGGCCGCGGGGCGCCGCGGGCGGGCGGAGCGGCTGCTGCGGGCGGAGAGCTGCGATCCCAACTGTAAGGACGCGGACTGGGCCGACTGGACCCCGCTGCACTGGGCCGCTGCCAGGGGTAAGGGCAGCGACTGCTGCGGTGGCAGCGAGCGCCGGCACCGCGAGCGCCGGAGCCCCGCGTCCCCTTCCGGCGCTTAAAGCGGGAGGGAAACTGCTCTTTACGCCTCCGAGCTGGGGGCAGCCAGCCCGTGGCACTGGGGGGGGGAGGTGCCTTGCGACCCAAATCGTTGTGGGCTCCTGTTCTGTTCTATGATTCACGTCCCGCAGGGCAGCCCCACATGCACAGGGGCCGTTTGAAAGAGCAGTTGAGGCTGTGGAGGTGCGGAGCCCTCACTGTGCGTCTCTTCCCCCTCCGCAGGGCACGTGGCGATGCTGCGCCTGCTGCTGGCCCACGGCGCCCGGCCGTGCCTGCGCAACGCTGCGGGATGGACCGCAGCCCACTGCGCGGCCGAGGCGGGGCGGCTGGCGGCGCTGCGCACCCTGCACGCCGCGCACGCCCCCATGGACGCGGCCGACCCGTTTGGGGACACCCCCAGGAGGCTGGCGCAGATCTACGGGCACACCGAGTGCGTCGCGTTCCTGGAGATGTGAGTGCCGCGGAGTCTGAGAGCACGGCGTCGCAGCACCGCTGCCTTGGAGGCGTCCTCACAGCGCCCAGCCCCAGATCCGTGGGCCGGGTGCCCCCAGCTCCGGCTGCCCAGGGCCCACCCGTGGCTTCTGGCACGTCCAGGGATGGGCACCACAGCTCTTGGCGGTGCCAGCACCTCACTGCTCACAGTAAAAAAGTTCCCCCTGACATCTAATCTAAATCTCCCCGCCTTCGGTTTGAAATCGTTCCCTCTCTCAGCTGAGCTATGCTCGCTGATTTGGCGAGTATATTTTTATCTGTGCAAAAGCAATTTAAAATAGATCTGAGGGCTCAGCCCTGTCTCATGTTGCCCACGTGCTCCAGGCCTCAGTGGGGCAGTGCTGGCAGCACCAAGCAGCATGCTGGCCCATAGCTCCTGGCTGTGCCCCTTGGCACTGCTGGGATACCTGCAGAGCACCCCGAGGGGCTGGGAGGGGATGGAGGGGGGCTGGGATGGCACTGATGGGCGGTGCACTGCCTCAGGGCTGGAGGTTGGATGGGGGGGTTGGATGGGGGTTGGATGAGGGATTGGATGGGGGGGTTGGATGGGGGTTGGATGAGGGATTGGATGAGGGATTGGATGGGGGTTGGATGGGGGTTGGATGGGGGTTGGATGAGGGATTGGATGAGGGATTGGATGGGGGTTGGATTAGGGATTGGAGGTGGGTTGGATGGGGGTTGGCATGGTGGGTTTCTGGGAGTTGGATAAAAGTTGGATGGAGGTTGGATGATGGCTGGCACGGGAAGTTGGATGGAGGTTGGATAGGGGGGTTGGATGGGAGGTTGAATGGGGATCGGCTGGGGGTTGGCAAGGGAGGTTGGATGGAAGTTGGATGGGGGTTGGCATGGGGAGTTTGTGGGGATTGGATGGAAGTTGGATGGGAGCTGGATGAGGGGCTGGTGGGGGGTTGCTGGGATGATTGACAGGTCAGTTGTAGTGATGGAAAAGGTAACTGAGTGGATATCTGACAAGGTGTTTGACAAGATGACTGACAGGGTGGGTGACATGGTTGATGTGATGATTGACATGATGATTGACATCCAGCACAATGCACTGATGAGCAACATCAGCCGAAGGCATGCAACTGCTGAGTGGTGTTTTGAGGTGAATGACAAATTTGAGGTGGAGAAGGCAAGCAGCCATGTTTCAGAGCTGGCTGGCTCTGGATGAGCAGTGGCTGTAGCTGCAGCACAGCGTGGGGCTGTGTGTGTGCTCCAGTGCTGCACAGTGCAGATCTGTCCTCTGGTCACAGCCTTGGCTGCTCTGGGATGTAAATGGGAGGGATATTGTGTTACATGGAGTCCCTGTCAGGGTGGATATTTGCCTGCCAGGCAAAAAGGTGCTAGAAAAGACATTTTTAAAGTAACAGGCAGAGGGGCTGTGCCCAAAGCAGGGCTGAAAGGCATCGCTAAGAGCCACGGGGGGATGGGGGGTCAGGTCAGGTGTTGGAAGAAATGAAGAAATTCTTTACCCAGAGGCAGTGAGACCCTGGCACTGCCCAGAGCTGTGGGTGCCTGAGGCCACGGCTGGGCTCCGAACTGATGGGCAGGAGTGGGGCTGGGGACTGAGAGGTTCCTTCTGACCCAACCAAGCTGAGCTTTTGTGATTGCATGAGCACCCAAACCCTTTGTCAGCCCCAGCTCAGCCCTTTCCTCCCCCACCAGCCCCTCATGCAGGCGCAGTGTAGTTTGCATAGACATGCAAAGCATTGAAACCCTACAAACGCTGAGTGACCTCTGAATAACAAACATGGAATTTGCATCAGATTTCTTTATATTTTCTGCACCGGTGTGGCTGAGGAGTCGCAGGTGACCTAAATGGGAGATGAGCTGACAGGTGACCTCACTGCTCCCTGCAGCTTCCTGAGGAGGGCAGTGTGGGAGCTGCAAATCTCTGCCCCAGGAATCCCACAGCAAAGTGCGTTTATTTCCAGGTTGCCAACTTGTTCAGTGTCATTCAGTGTAGATGTGGGCAAAAATCTGAGAACTTGTATAAATGGCAGCTGCTGCTTCCCTGTTGAGTTGGGTTCGGGGTCTGAACTGCACAGATCCTCCCTGCGGGTTCCCACCTCCATCAGGCTGAGTGCCTGGGGTGCCACGCTGGGGCGGTGGGGTGGGCTGGGGGTTTCTCATGGGTTGCTGCTGCTGATGTGTTGACCGTGCCAACACACAGTCCTGTTTCCATGGACGTGCTCAGGTGTGCTGTGACTGAGCTGTGCTCGGGGATTGAAGATAAACTTCCTTTGTTCCCCAGAGCAGAGGTGGAGAGCAGAAACTACCGCCAGACAGCAGCGATGAGGGGAATGCCTTTGGACCAGGTGGATGAAGACTGGGAACTCAAGAAGGAGGAGCTGGAGAGAAACCCACCATGTGCCCAGCACAGCTATGCGACCTCTGTGCAGAAGAAGATGCAGAGGAAGAGAAGGAAGCAGTAGTGTCACTGTGTGTTTGGGGCTGCTGAGAACTCAGTGCAGAGCAGAGGCACTGAGTATCTCAGGGGAAACCTGGGTAGGCAGCAGCAGAGATGGGTGCCGGGATGAGCCTCTGTGATGTGCTGCACATGCTGTTGTGGTCATGGGGTGGGTAGGAGTGCTTCTGCCTGCCCTTTATGCATCAGGTCTCAAATATCAGAATCACAGAATGGTTTGGGTTGGAAGGGACTCCAAGGATCACGAAGCTCCAACCCCCCTGTGCCACGCAGGGCCACCAACCTCCCCATTTCACAGCAGCCCAGGCTGCCCAGGGCCCCATCCAACCTGGCCTTGAACACCTCCAGGGATGGACGGGGCATCACAGCCTCTCTGGGCAGCTGTTCCAGCACCTCACCACTCTCTCTGTAAAGAACTTTATGAATATTGCAGAAGGTGCTTAAATATACAAATGCTCTAATTCACCCAATTATATGCAAATGTATAGAAATGAAATTCACTGCACTCACCCATGTTGCATGGGAGTGAAATCCTTTTGCTCCCGACTGGCTCAGGGACATCACTGTGGTGATGCCAGAGCCCTTTCTGTGTTTGCTTCCAGCCCCAAGTCACCTGGGGGCCTAGGGGTTCATAGCCTTACTGCTGCCTCTCTTTTCCCTGCAGTGGGACAGAGCTGCTCCTGCTGAGGGGTGATGTGACACAGCTTATCAGGAGCAAGGAGCATACTGGAGCCTTTTGTGAAAGCATTGTGGTAAAGCAGCAACTACAGGAGCACAAGCAGGGAAAGAAGGGAGCTATGGTGTCTGTTCTGTGAGCGTCATGTAGCAGCAAGGGGGTCCAGATGGCACTGAAGACCTGCCTCTCTCAGGACATGTGGCTGGTGCATAGCATGTCCCATTGACAGAGTGGGACCCAGCAGAGTTTGGCAGCTCATCTGGACCTGATCTGGTCAAAGCCATGAATGATTCAGGTTCTGCTCTGTGCTGGCTCTGTTTGCTGTGTAGCCAATTGCATGGCTGCTGGCAGACTCCTGCTCTGATCTCTCCCAGTGCCCCTTCATTGCAGCCCGGGGGAAAAAATGGGATGGAAGAGCACCTGGATTGAGATAACAGCAGGGAGATCAATTGCCACCACTGACAATAAATGTTGGCCTTGGGAAAATTAATTTATTGCCCATTAAGAAAACAGAGTAGGATAGCGATAAACAAAGACAAAACTAAAATACCTTTCCACATGTCACCCTTCTTCCCAGGCTCAACTTTCCCCCTTCATTCCCAGCTCTTTGACCTCCTCCCCTCTGAGTGACACAGGGCTGGGCAGTGGGGCTCATGCCTCCTCACGCTTCCCCTGCTCCAGTGTGGGCCCCTGCCTGGCCGCATCCTTTCAGAATAAGCTTCAGCATTGGCTCTGCATGGGCTGCAGCACCGACTGGCTGCTGCTGGGCTCACTGTGCCCTGCTGTGGGGCTGCGGGACCCGTTACACGTTTTCCTAAATGTAAAACACATTCACAATATAAAGAACATTTAGGTGTGGTAATAAGGGACATGTTTAATAGGGTGATATTAGTGGTCGGTGGATGGTTGGACTGGGTGATCTTGGAGGTCTTTCCCAACCTTGGTGATTCTATGATTCATAGAATCCCAGCATGGCCTGGGTTGCAAAGGCCCACAGCGCTCCTCCAGCCCCAACCCCTGCTGTGTGCAGGTCGCCAACCAGCAGCCCAGGCTGCCCAGAGCCACATCCAGCCTGGCCTTGAATGCCTGCAGGGATGGGGCATCCACAGCCTCCTTGGGCAACCTGTTCTGTGATTCCTGAGTGTTTTACAGAGCCAGAGTCCACTGCTGGAACCAGGCTTAGTAACATGGCAGCAGCAGGTGGAAGTGTCACCAAATCACAGGACCGCATTGCTTGGCTACTGACAATAGCTTATCTCAAAGAATTACTCAGATCAAGTGATAACAATAATTAATTCAATTCACAAGAACTTAATTCAGTGATTTGTTTTACTTTAAAAGGAGAAGATAGAAGACCTGTATCACCCGCAGTGTGCTGAGGACTCTGTTGGAGATGGCAGGACCTGAACTGAAGAACAAAGCATCGATGTTTTGGTGGGCTGCCTGGTGCAGTCCTTGCACTTTGCACAAGGCAGAAACCTTAGCACTATCCTTTCCAGTTTGGGATTGCTAAAAATGAGAATAAGGGAATGAACGACTGGAAAAGCGTATTGAAGGACCAAAAGGAGTAACGTCGGGAGGTTATTCGTATTGTTGTAATACACTGTTGACATCAAGATGATGTAATTAATGCAGTAGAAGAAGAAGAAGGACAGAAGGGATTTCATGGCTTTGATGTGGGCGTCCATGCTGAGGCTCCTGGCAGAGCTGTTCTGCATCCTGTGCTTGTGACTGCAGAGGGAGAAGAGGAGGAGGAAGGCAGAGCAGGTTACCATTATGAACGCCATGGAAAACCCAAGTGTGCAGATAAAAACTATAGTGCGAAAATGTTCCCTTATTTCTTTGTTCACTTCCCAGAAAATCCCGTGGGTGGTGAAATTGGTGTTCTTTTCACCAGTAACTTCGAGGAAGGGGCTGCAGTTGAGCAGGGACAGAACCACGGAGCTCAGCAGCAGCCATGGCACAATCCTGTCGATTTTGGCTTTCAGGTAGGTGAAGAAACGGTGCCTGAAATTTGCGATTTTTATACAGTAAAAAGCATAGAGGCAGGAAGAAGTCCAAAAGTTGGAAGAATTTAAAAAGCACAGAAAAATTGCAAAGGCGAGGGACATGCCTGTGCCTAAAAGATGCTGGGGAAATAACACTGAAATAAAGAGGTATATCCATGAGGTGCACAAGTACCAAAACCTGAAGGCGCCCAGAAACAGCAAGATCTTCTCAATAGAGTTCATGCTTTTCTTTTTGAACCACTCCATGCAAGATGCAGCCACAAGGAAGGAATTGATGCACATGCCAGCCAGCACCTGGAGGGTGAAGATGATCAGGAAAGCGTTACCGGGTAAAGTTCTCTTGTACCACTGCTGCTCTGCCATCCTGCACCGGGGGCAGCTCTTCTGTGCCGGAGCTGAGGTTAGCTGGGATGTGTGTCCGTGTGAGGAAATGGAGCTTTATAGGGCTGGGGGGGACCTCAGTGCTGCTCCCACCCAGAGCAGCGCAGGTGCTGGGATGTAAATGTGCCAGGTATCCCCTTACCCAGCAGCGGTGTCAGCCTTCAGCATTTGAATTTCAGCTCATAACAGGCAGGCTGTGTGAAACTCTGTCGGGCAAAGTTCCTCTAGGTTTGGGTTTGAGAGGAGCCTGGCATGCTGAGAGCAGTTACCGACCAGATGGCAGCTGATGCTGTGCTGTAAATCTCAACAACCTGCCATCTAGCTATGAGAAGGAAGCTGGCAGCTCTTCCTCTCTGCACCTGTTTCCTGGGGGCTATAAATTCTCCCTGAATATCACTGTTGCAAGCTCCTATTTGCATTTTTTGTCACCGAAGAACTAGTTAGAGCATTAGCATGTTGAAATGCTGTGCAGAAGGCTTGGGGTTCATCTCAACAACAGAGCATGTTCCTGTAACTCCGTGCTGGTGATGCAGTAAGCAGACCTTGCATTCCCTCAAGCTGCCATCTCTAAGCCCTTTCTTTGGCAGAGAGCACTGCTCCTGTCCCAGAGCTGCTGGCATCACTCAGGATGGTGCTGGAGGGCATGTGAGCAGACAGGAGGAGCAGGGTTTGTCTCTGGAGAAGTCATAGAAATCCTAAATTGTTCCGTAGCTCCTGATTCCTACAAGGGTTCCTGTACTGAGAATGGCTATGAAATGGCCTTGCAGGCCACTCTCAAAGTTCTTTGCTATGAGAGTGGTGAGGTGCTGGAACAGCTGCCCAGAGAGGCTGTGATGCCCCGTCCATCCCTGGAGGTGTTCAAGGCCAGGTTGGATGGGGCCCTGGGCAGCCTGGGCTGCTGTGAAATGGGGAGGTTGGTGGCCCTGCATGGCACAGGGGGGTTGGAGCTTTGTGATCCTTGGAGTCCCTTCCAAACCTGGCCATTCTGTGATTCAGGCTGTGTGCCAGGTCGGTGTATGGCTGTGTCCTTTAAGATTGTCATCTGCTCAGCATTTCAAGGTTCAACTTCAGAATCACAGAGTCACGGACCTGTTGAAGAAGACCTCCAAGGTCGTGCAGCCCAACCCTCACCAGCACCACCATTTCCCACCGAACCACCTCAGTACCACCTACACACAGCTCTGAAGCACCTCCAGGGCAGTGACCGCTGGGCAGCCCATTCCAGTGCCTTTTTGATGGTTTCTGCCTGTCAGCACTTCCAAAGGCTGATCAGAGCAGGATATGCTGTGTGGGGAATTACACCAAGCTGTGTCAGTGACTGACCTGGGTGTGTTACTTCTTTGGGTAGCTGAGCATGCGGATGCAGGCAGCTGAGAAAGGACGTGGCTGAAGAAAGCTCAGGGAAGTCAGGGCAGTAAGCATAGTGCTGAGTTCAACTTGTTCAACTGCTCCTAGGGGGGAGCATCCTCTGGGCTGAACCAAACCCACACCAACACCACACTCTTATGCGACACAGCTCACAGAGCCCTCGGCAGCAGCTCTCATTCAGCTTCTGCTTTCCGGTTTGTGCTCCTCTGAAGGAAGCTGCTTGGTTTCACACAACTGGTGGCCAAGATATGAATCTTAAGCATCTTCAGTTCTACCCCAGGGCTTCAGTGACATTTTACCCTGGGACAGTCTCATTTCCTGGCAGCGGCTGTGATCTGCTTTATGTTCTGGGGCATGTTGTCTCACTGTGCTGACAGAGCAGAGGATGGGATGAAAGATTTTTTGTCTTCTCATCATACATCTGTGGGGAGAACATAAATTATTTTTGGGGAGGAAGTCTTTCATGCAGAGGGTGGTGAGGCAGTGGCACAGGTTGCCCAAGGAGGCTGTGGATGCCCCATCCCTGCAGGCATTCAAGGCCAGGCTGGATGTGGCTCTGGGCAGCCTGGGCTGCTGGTTGGCGACCTGCACACAGCAGGGGTTGGGACTGGAGGAGCGCTGTGGGCCTTTGAACCCAGGCCATGCTGGGATTCTATGGTTCTATTTCCATTAAAAATATATATGTATAAAGATCTGTAAATGAACTGTCTGTGCTGGGACAATGCCTGAACAAGGGCAGTGAATAAAAATGTTACACTAGCATACAGTGGCTGGGACCCTCTCAGCTCCACATGGGGAGTTTGGCATTGAAAAACAAAAGTACAAAATAAGGGTCTCATATGCTGTGTTTTTTAAGCACAGATGTAGATCAGCTGCTTAAAACACAGCTGTCTGTTGCCAGTCCATATCCATCTCCTCTGACACAACTCTAGAATGGGAAGGGATCTCCCAGGCTTCATTATCTACCAGCCTATGTGGGTATTTTACCCCTGGAGAACCTCAGATAGCACCGGGTACCTCTGTTCAAGCAGTGGGATGGGTGCACAGCAGTACTGGGCCTGAGACACACAGCACATACACAGGCACTACAGGGCATGCATTTAGGCTTAATGGCTTGAGTCTGAGCTTAGTTCTGGCTTAGGTGTTTGAAGCTGGAATGGACTCCTGTCTCCATGACCACTGCCTTTCCCCTTGGATCACATGAGAATGCCCGGTGAGCAGCCCAGGTTAGCCAAGCCATGGGGCTATCAGGTGTGTAACTTCTGCCCACACCCCACTCCACATAAACACCAACTGCGATGCTTGAAGCCCATGGTTGTTTCAGGATACGTGGCTGGGGAAAATGGTGAAACTTCCTTGGGGCAAATGTTATGAAATTGTTCTGGAAATCCTCATTCAGCCCCAAATGCCCCTTTGGAGCAGACAGGAGTGGTGCGCTGCAGTGTGCTGATGGCTGTTTGCAGTGTGTTTGGGCACTTACTGGTTAAGGAGAGATGCGCTGGCTGGGGAGGTGGTGAGGTCTTTCAGAAAAACATCTTGTAGTTCTTGGTAAGTCACACAGCCTAAATTGATGTTTATCTCATTTCAGAAACAGAAAGGCTGCTTTTTGAAGGTGTTACACACAGAATCACAGAACAGTAGGGGTTGGAAAGGACCTCTGCAGATCCCCATCCAGTAGTGGACCCACATTTTCCCCGGAACAGAAAAATTCACAACTGGCTCACCTGCATTCCGGGTTGCCTGGTCATTACTGCCTTGTTTCTGAACTCCATCTCATCACTGCTGCATCCCAAACTGCTCCCAGCTGTCCCTTCCCCAACCAGCCCTTCCTTGTCAGTGAGAGCAGGTCCAGCAGCACATCACTGCTCATCGGCTCTTCTGCTGCCTGCATCAGAAAGTTATTTTCAGTGTGATCATACTGGAAAGTGCTGCAGATGTAAGCAAACACCAATGAGAGTGTTGGTAAGGCTCAAATGTTAACACAGGTTAAGTTTGCTTCAGCAACAGCAGGAGAGAAGCAGCTGCTGTGAGAAGCAGCTCCTTCAGATGTCACTTTCCCATTCCCCACATCGTGTCTGAAGGATGGGTGATAAGCACTTCTGTTGTGGTAGCATGGCATTGCTTGCACTGGATGCACTCTGGTTTTGTGCAGCTCTCTGGGCTGATGTTGTAACATTAACTGTCCAGATCTGCTCTGCTCATGCTGTGCTGCTGTTGGCCAAACAGAGTGACACACCTTGCCATTGGTGTGACGGTGCTCCAGCACTCCTGGCTGCCAGGTGCAGCGCCAGAGAGGAGCTCGACGCTGACTGGGCCGATTTAAGCGACATCATTCAGTCTGGCTGAGATCTCTGGATTACCAGGGCAGGAAATCGTGATTACAGGAACCCACATGTTGCTCTGCTGCAGCCTTCAGGCGTTCTCTCTTCATAACAGCCCCAGCTCAGCACAGGCTGCAGGGAAATGCAAAGAAATTTTTTCCCCCAGAGGGTGGTGAGGCACTGGCACAGGTTGCCCAAGGAGGCTGTGGATGCCCCATCCCTGCAGGCATTCAAGGCCAGGCTGGATGTGGCTCTGGGCAGCCTGGGCTGCTGGTTGGCGACCTGCACACAGCAGGGGTTGGGACTGGAGGAGCGCTGTGGGCCTTTGCAACCCAGGCCATGCTGGGATTCTGTGATTCTGTGAATTAGAAATGAGAACATTCAGAACATTCTGTCTTCTGGTTTCCATCTAATTGCAGGGACTACTTTAAAGTTTGAGTTTGGAGCAGGTAAATACAGGAGAGCTCTGTAAGATTTTAACACTGCGTTACTACTGGTTTCCACATCAAAATTGTTCAGACTTTACTGAGGAGCTGAGAACACACAGCAACTTGCCAAAAGCTCTGAGCGATGCCCTGGATGTGCAAAACCTGCTTTCCTTTCCCAGCCCTCAGTTTATCAAGCAAGATGATGCTCTCTCCTATGGCTCTGACCTATCCCTAGGATTTAGAATCATAGAATCATAGAATGATAGAACAGCTCAGGTAGGAAAAGACCTTGAAGATGATGGAGTCCAACCCCAGCCCAACCATCCCAGCCCAACTCTACCAGCCCTCCGCTAAATCATGGCCCTGAGCACCACATCCAAACGGTTTGAAACACAGCCAGGGATGGGGACTCAGCCACCTCCCTGGGCAGCCCAGTGTAGTGCCTTAGGATTTTTTACCATCCAGTTCGGAGGACATACTGTCGATGAATGGGAGGAGCAAGGCAGCTCTGACATGCCTGAGAATTATCAGTAGAAGTATGCCCCTTTGTAGCATTAGAATGGCTTCACTTAAGAGGGGTTGCCAACTTGCTGACACCCGGACCGTTGCTGAGCCATGGTGAGGCATTCTGAAGGGGCGTTGTGCACTGAGCTTTATTTTGGTCTCGCCTAATCACAAACGTCTGATTTTTTGTCTGGGGTTTGCACAAAGCTCTGCCAAACAGTGATCGTTTCCTTGATGATCTCAATACCCCATATGGTAATGAGTCAGCCCTGCACTATGGGCCGTATTCTTTCAACACCAGTTACAACACCCCTTCCACCACAGCAAAACTTCCTGAATTTTCTGAGATTGTTGAGCAAAGGTTGGATTTCTGCAGGGCTGTTCTACTGAGGCTGAAAGCCGTGTACAGCAGCAGTAAGTTCACCTTCTCACACATGTATTTGAAAATCCTTCCCCAGCCTTCATGGTAACACAGATGGGGTCACATGAGAGGAGCAGAAGCACTGCACCCTTGGGATCCTCCTGCGGTCCTAAAGGAAAAGATAGCTCTTCTGCAGCAGCAAGCTCCATGGTGACCGAATGGCCATTTCATTATGGAATACCATCTGAGTGAATTGGGAGTCACAAATTGCTTTTGTTCTCACAGATTTTCCTTTAAGATTAATTAATGGTAACCATTTCCTACCTGGATGATGATCTCCTGCTGTTCATGGTAAAATCTTCAAACTGTAGGAGTCTGGAATTAGAATTTCTGAAGTCAGTGCATTTAGAGTTCCTTGTTCTGCACTTGCAATGTTTGATAAGACAAGTGGGGAGCATGAATGGGGAAAAACGTGCTTCCCAGCTTCACTAGCAAAGCAGGAATGGCAATACTGCAGCCATTGCACAGTACTGACTTACTGTCACCATATATGTGAATGTTCCCACTGACTTCAGCAGAACTACTCATGATTTACACCCTGACGTGAGAAATGGGCCACAGAACCTCATCCTGACAGCCTGAGAGAGGTGATGGGTGTCTGACTGGGAGGACTGGTGAGCAGAGGCTGAGGTGGTTCACACAAGGACGTACTCAGCTGAGAGAGGGGAGATGATATGGCTCTTTGGGGAAAAAACATCATTTATGAGTGGTGACAGAGATGTGCAACTCTCTGTTGTTTTCATTTGTACTAAGAACATATTTCCTGAATATTCCTGAACACAGCATGGAAGCATTCTGGGATGGGGTTAACAGGGAAGCTCTGACTTGATACTGACGGACATAAAAGACATTACCCCATTCCTGGCAGCTTTGAGCCTCACCTTCTTGGGCTGCAGCTCTTAGGATATATCAGTATCCATGGGGTGGTGCAAAGCAGACAGATGGTGCTGAGCGGGGCCATGTTGGCAGAAGGGGGATGGAGGCCATGCTTTGGTGGGTAACTGCGCAGATTTTTGTTGTTTTTTTTTTGTTTTTTTGATGGTCATTAGACTTCACCGTGCTTTTTATAGATATGAAAAGGAAGACACACAGAGATAAATAAGTTATTACAAGTACCCAGTCCAGGGCTGTCCAAATAGGAAGCTGAGTTTCACACCAAACAGAAAAGGAAGTCACTTGAGCGGGATGGACAGGTCAAAAGGAATCATAGCATCACAGAATGGCCTGGGTTGGAAGGGACCTCAAGGATCATGAAGCTCCAAACCCTCACCACAGGCAGGGCCACCAACCTCCCCATTTCATAGCAGCCCAGGCTGCCCAGGGCCCCATCCAGGGTCACATTTAAGGCCCAGATTGGGCCCTGGGCAGCTGGTCTAGTATTAAATGTGGAGGTACCACATGAGGTACCCCTGCCCCATAGATGAATTCACAGTCCAAATGTGAAAGAGGAAACAATTACTTTAAATATATTAACACGAGTAGGGATGGATTGGTACAAAGCTGTGGTGGCTGGATGCTAATCTATTCCCTACATATTGAGGGAGGCAAAGAAGTCTGTGTCTGTGTCTGTGTCTGTCTGTGTCTGTGTCAGTGTCTGTGTCTGTCTGTGTCTGTCTGTGTCTGTCTGTGTCTGTCTGTGTCTGTGTGTCTGTGGGGTAGCCGGGTCTCTCCATGGAAGACTTACTGGGAACAGCTTCCAGGGAGAGCCACAGAACCAAGGCCTGGGTCTGCCAGGACCTGCTGAATGCATCCACTCACATGGGCATGTTTACAGGATTGGAAGTCCCAGGTTTGCACTTCATTTCTAAAGAATGGAATAGAATATGTTCCCTATCTGAGCAGCTGAACACTAGTTTTTCAAGTCACATTTTGATGCATTTTCATTGGTATTGATTTATTTTTTATATATTTTTTTATAGCAAAAATTCTGTTATATTGAATTCTTTTTTCTGAAAGTAACTTCCTAGCTCTGCCCAGTCGAACTGCACTAAAGATGAATGGATCAAAACTATTATCACAACACTTTTCTGTGCTTCCCAGATAAGGGTATTTTATGTGCTTAGATACAGCACTGATACAGCTTAGATACAACAGCTGCTCAGCCAGCTCTACTGGACTCTTACATCCTTCCTCCAAGGATGATGTAAAAACGCCTCATGTTTTTCCACAGGTTAAATGGAAGTCCATGAGATCAGCTGGTTAAGGAAAATGATGGAACTGGAAATGTTGGGAGAATGGAGAGGCTGCACACAGCTACAGATATATGGAAATGTTTTTTTATATAAGAAGTGCTGGCAAATATTGATGGAAGACAACACTGTCATGGTTTACCAGAGGAAAGTTGTATCAAGTGCCTAGTGCAAATCTAACCTTCATAGAATCATAGAATCGTGGAATCTTTGGCTTCAGCTGAGCAGTGCCAGCATTGGCAGCCATGAGATCAGAATTTGGCACAGAGGTGATGCTCTCAAACTGGTTCCCAGATGGGCACAGGGCTTCAGGCAGCCATCAGCCAAGGACTTCACAGGAGCCTGGCACAGGTTGAGTCTCACTCCTTTGATACAAATGAAGTCCTGGTTCCTTGAAGTGCTCTCAACCCCTCTGCTATAGGTGCAAGCAGACATCCTGACAGATAAGATATATTATGTTGCCAAAACCCAGCATGTGTCTGAGGTGTCTGACCAGCCTCACTTAGCCAGGAGCGCCAGTCTTTCACTTCCCGGGATGCTGTCCCAGGATTTCCCTTCCCTCCCATGGCCATCATGACTTTCTCAAGCCCAGAGCACTCATTCCCAGGTGCTGCCTGGAGCCGTTGCCTTATGGAATCATAGAATGTCTTGGGTTGCTCAGGAGGCCAAGAGGGCCAGCAGCATCCTGGCCTGCATTAGAAATGGCCAGCAGAGCAGGGAGGTGAGCATCCCCTGTGCTCAGCACTGGTGAGGCCACACCTCGAGTGCTGGGTTCAGTTTTGGGCTCCTCACTGCAGGAAAGATGTTGAGGCCCTGCAACGTGTGCAGAGAAGGGCAACGAAATGGTGAGGGGTCTGGAGCACAGGGCTGATGAGGAGCAGCTGAGGGAGCTGGGAATGTTCAGTGTGGAGAAGAGGAGCTCAGGGGAGACCGGACTGCACTCTGCAACCTCCTGAAGGGAGGCTGTGATGAGGAGGGGTTTGGCCTCTTCTCTCAGGCAACAAGCAGGACCCGAGGAAATGGCTGCAAGTTGTATCAGAGGAGGTTTAGGTTGGACATAAGGAAGAACTTTTTCTCTCAGTGGTCAGGCACAGCAATGGCTGCACAGGGAGGTGGTGGGGTCTCCATTCCTGGCAGTGTTCAAGAGGCGCCTGGATGAGGAGCTGCGAGGTCTGTTTTAGTGCTGGTGGTAGCAGTGGTGATGGGAGGGCGGTTGGACTCGATGGTCTTACAGGTTGTTTCCAACCTTGTGATTCTGTGATTCTATGACCTCAAGAATCACAAAGCTTCAACCCGCCGCAGGCAGGGCCACCAACCTCCCCATTTCACAGCAGCCCAGGCTGCCCAGGGCCCCATCCAACCTGGCCTTGAACACCTCCAGGGATGGACGGGGCATCACAGCCTCTCTGGGCAGCTGTTCCTGCAGAAGCACACTCTGTATGTCTGTAGGTGACACTAAGCTGAGCTGTGTTCTGCATGCTGGAAGGAAGAGATGCCATCCAGAGGGCCCCCAACAGGCTGGGGAGGTGGGCTGGTGTGAACCTCGGGAAGTTCAGCACGGCCAGGTGCAAATGGCTGGGACAATCCCAAGCTCAGACACGGGCTGGGCCAAGAACAGGCCGAGATCAGCCCTGAGGAGGAGAACTTCTGGGTCCCGATGGTCGTGGCTGTCTCTGGTGGGCAGAGCCATGTTGTGCATGGAGCTGTGTGTCCTGGGGTGCATTGGCCATGGGAAGGTGCTGTCAGTGCCTCTGTAATTGTATCTCTCTTATTTCTAATCTTTACGATATAATGTTAATTATTAATGGAGAGAAACACCAGCTGAAATTCTCATGTCACCAGAGTGCTATAAACTCAATAATTCTCTTTGAGCACGTGGCTTTTATTCAGTGCAACTGAGATTGTAATGCTGACAGACAATAAATACAGTGGAAGGAGTCAGCAACTTTGGGCCCAACTGAGATGGGACACAAAGCCCATGTGAGCCTTGTACTGCCTGAAACTGGGAGTGATCACATTCCTCTCTAACATTCCTCCAAAGTGGACTTGGGTAAAGGACAGCAGCAATGCCATCGCCTGTCATCAAGGGGGGTGATATGATGTTATGATAAAGTTACCAAGGTGGAAAGCTGGCAGCTGGTTGGCTGGTGCCTGTGGGAAGCTCAGCAGCATGCTCTATATATTGCCAGAGATGAGGGGAGCCAGCTTCCATGTCCACTGCAGAAATGGGCACCCGCAGCTCCCTGCTCTGCCTGGCCCTCCTGTTATGTTATGCATGTGCTACTCCAGTCTCTGTAAGTAGAAACCTGATTTCTACAGGCTCCTCTCAGTGCAGAAATGCCCCATACCTCATGCTGGCTGTGTTATTGTCTTTCAGGTTGAGCATCTCTCCAGTGAGCCTGGTAAGCACTCCGTGAACTGCTTTGAGTTTTGAAGCATTTTGTTTTGCCTGCTGTGTGCCGCTACATCTGAACACATGATGTTCTGTCTATCTTGCAGATGGAGAAAATGATGCTAGTGAGATAATCAGAGACATTCCAGACATAAACTTAGGTGAGTTCATGGCTAAATTCTTCATCAGTTCTGAGCCTACCAGTACCTTCTCCCCAGTATCCTATGTCAGGATGCCCAGGAATGGCACAAAGATGCTCCAGGAGAGGTTCACAGTAGGTACTGGGAAAAGTTTCTTTGCTGTGAGTGTGATCAAACACTGGCACAGGCTTCCTGGAGAAGTGGTTGGTGCCCATACCCGTGTCTGTTCCAGAGGCGTTTGGATAAAGCCTGCAATAATATCACTTAACTTTTGGTTAGCCCTGAAGTGATGAAGCAGTTGGAGTGGATGATCACTGCAGGTCCCCTCTAACTGAACGGTTCTACTCTACTCCACTCCGCTCTATTCTTCTCCATTCCACTCTGCTGTACATTAAAAAAAATGCTGATTTCTCAGGTCTCTCCCACACAAAATTATTGTCTAGACATTCTGCAACCCTCTGTAAGCAAAGCATGCAGATGCCTTTTACTTCTCTTGTTTGGACAGGCTCCTAGTGTCAAGACAATATCACCTTTCATCACTTTAAAGTTGCTTCATATATTTATGATATTTTTGAAGTTTCACAGGCTTGCTGATAGCTTGGATGTTAGCTTGAGCTTCTATAAAAGTGGCAAGGAAACAACACAACATGTTATACAGTATTCTATTTTAATTATTTCTTTAATTTCCAATAATGTAAATTTCCATACATCCATCACTGGTGCACCGTGCAACACTTTCTCCTGATGCATTACTCAATATCAGTACATCCTCTCGAGGATTGTCCCATTGTGTGACTGGTGCCACTGCCCGACAGACAGCAGGAGGCTCTAAAATGAGATTTTTTGAAGAAGGTCTAGAGGAGCCACAGAGATGAGCAGGGGGCTGCAGCACCTCCACTGCAAAGACAGGCTGAGGGAGCTGGGCTTGTTCAGCATGGAGAAGAGAAGCTGCGGGGTGACCTCAGTGCAGCCTGCAGTGCCTAAAGGGAGCCTGCAGACAGGAGGGGAGTCAGCTCTGTGAAAGGGGAGATGGCAGCAGGACAAGGGGAAATGGTTTGGAGTTGAGGGAGGGCAGATGGAGGTTGGATGTCAGGGGAAGTTGTGTGCTGTGAGAGTGGTGAGGTGCTGGAACAGCTGCCCAGAGAGGCTGTGATGCCCCGTCCATCCCTGGAGGTGTTCAAGGCCAGGTTGGATGGGGCCCTGGGCAGCCTGGGCTGCTGTGAAATGGGGAGGTTGGTGGCCCTGCATGGCACAGGGGGGTTGGAGCTTCGTGATCCTTGAGGTCCCTTCCAACCCAGGCCATTCTATGATTCTATGATATGGATAATGGCTGTCACCAGATTTCTGCCACACATCATTTAGTATTAAATACTGAGTAGAAGCTGAGGATAGACTTTTATTTCCTGTAAATGCATGAGGACATGACCTTGGATGAGTATGCTCAAATGCGGCTTTTGAGTTAAAATGATTATTTGATATTCCATTTACATTACCTTTCAATAAATTGCTTTTCAGCTGCTGGATTGGACCTTTTTCAGGGTGATATCTTGCTTCCTGTAAGTAATTACAGAAACTTTATTGCTTGCGTTTGCCCTAATTGTATTTTTAGCACACATCAGCACATCTCTACACAAAACACCTGTATCACCAGCTGTCCATTCTCTTTCCAGAAAAACCAGCGAAATGCCTTAAGAGACGACACCTACAGATGGCAGTTCCCTGTTCCCTATATCCTAGGTGATGACTTAGGTAATGCCAATACTTTATTCAATTTCTAACTGCAGTATTTGTTTGCACTGGAATCAGCGCGATCAGAAATCTGCTTTTTGCAGAGCTGGTTCTCTCCCGTTGATATTCACTAACAACCAGATTGCTCCTTTGCATCAACTCCCTTCTTTCTCCTACAGCAGTCATAACAAAACGTAGTTTAATTAAATTCAGTTCAGTTCTGTTTTCATTCATTTTCCTTTCGGTCCCACACATAAACCATGTGCATTACCTCTCTGGGCCGAACCACCCCTGGGTGCTAAAGATGCTCTGCTCACTTATGTTCTCCAGATCTGAATGCCAAAGGAGTCATTCTCCAGGCACTTGAAATGTTCCGCCTTAAGTCCTGCGTGGATTTCAAGCCGTATGAAGGAGAGGCAAGCTACATATTCTTCATAAAAGAAAGCGGGTAAGGGACCATCGACTTCTGCTTGTTTCTTCTGTGTGGAACCAAGGAGAATTCATTCCATCCAACTGCAGCAGTCCAGCAGTTCTTTGTGAGCTGGTTGTGGTAGAGAAAGGGGCCACCAAGAAAGCACCTCATCCTGGGGCTTGGAAGCTGGCTGCCTTGCTCTGTTGGCTGCAGGGGATGTTCAGGGGAGGAACCTGAAATGGGCATCTGGTTTGGAGAGGGTTGCCAAGAAGCCCTAAGTGAATCACAGAATCACAGCATGGCCTGGGCTGAAAAGAACCACAGCGCTCCTCCAGTCCCAACCCCTGCTGTGTGCAGGTCAACAACCAGCAGCCCAGGCTGCCCAGAGCCACATCCAGCCTGGCCAGAGAACAGAGAGTTCAGCATTATGATGAGCTTGCAGTTCTATGCATGTATGATATTTCTTGGCAAAATGACAGCTGATAATGAGACAAAACTTCTGTGGATCTCAAAAATCAAGTGTGACCTTGCCTAAAATGGGGGGGTGCGTAAAACACCTGCCTCATGTAAATGACAGCTTAGTTTGAGGCTTAGTCTGCCTTCAGAGTAGAGCATCTGGTAAGCACCAAAGGAGCTTGATCAGCACATAAGGAATGATTTACAGTAATCATTTTATACTTAAACCTTTCTTTTAAATATATATATATATTTAAATGCAGCAAGCGGACATAAAGACAAAGAAGAAAACTAATTGCAGATGGTAAGATCTTTCTCTTTCTCAGGTGTTGGTCCATGGTGGGGGACCTGAAGAATGGGCAGAACCTCTCCATTGGGTCAGGGTGTGACCACAAAGCAATCGTGGAACACGAGATCCTGCATGCTTTGGGGTTCTACCACGAGCAGTCGAGGATGGATCGCGATGACTACGTGACCATCTGGTGGGATGAAATCCTTACAGGTTGGTTGGGAACTTCCAGTCAGATTTGTAAAGTGCAAACTGCTCAGCATCTGGCTCTTCTGTAATGAAAGTTCTCAGAATCTGAACAGGTTTATACTCACACATCCAGATTTCCAGAAACTGGAACTATATATAAATATAAATATATATATAAATCCATAGTCCAAGCCCTATCCATATTCTGTACATTGCTATCCATGCTATAAAATCTCATTTTTCAATGAGGGAAATTTATTAAGTAGAAAACTTCAACTGAAGCCATTTGAAAGGACAACTTATTGGAGATGGAATAGAAAGGTTAATTTGCCAACATTGATTTGGACTTTGCCATTCTGTGTGTAGGGAATATGGACACTACACAGCCCTGCAGAAGGACTGTAACGTGTAGCTTCCACCTTGGATTGGGTGTGCCCTATAGAGTCAATCAGGCTTTTTTTTGGAAAAATGAGAAGTTTGGGGCCACGTGTCATCTGCCCATGTGTAAAACATGTATCTCATAGAACATAAATGCCCAGCAGTGGTATGAAAAGCAGCATTATTGCACCTGCCTGTGTACTGCCAAGGTTTTGCCTCTAGCTATAAAAAGTGATAGCATGTAATTAGCAAGGTTCCCATCATTTTTTTGATAAAAACTGCAGTTCAAAGATCTGAAGAACATCAATCCAAGTTCTTATATAACCTCAAGCCTTGGACTGGAGACCTTTGTGCTCAGGACAGAGTCATGAGGAAGAGCAGCCTT